TCATTACGGTGTACTGATGAAGCCGGAGATCTAGATGTCATCGTAGTGAATAATTTTAAGCCTTCGGCAAAGTGTCCCCATGCTGCCAATAAAGCGCGACAAGAGTTATTTCATCTTACGAGGGTGCCGAGTAACATTAAAGCAGAAGTATTCTTGCTGTTATATAAAGCAGTGCTTAGGCAACATCTGGAGTATTGTGTTCAGGCCTGGGCACCGTACCTCCGGAATGAGATCGTTTGTGCAGAAAAGATTCCGAAACTTGTGACCAGGATGATCGAAGTTCAACGACGGAAGCCGTACGAAGATCGTCTAATTAGCTTGGGATTATTTTCCTTGGAACGACGTTGGTTGACAGGGAGTTTGATAGAGACGTTTAGAATAATTAAAGGACTTAGTGGTATTAGTCCCACCTATCTGTTTGCGTTGGATATGTCAGACTGTCTGCGCGGGCATCGCCTGAAGCTCAAACAACGTAGAGCTCTTTTGGACATCAGGGCAAAGCTTTTTACGAACGGAGTAGTTAACTGCTGGAATAAACTTCCTTCTGGAGTAGTGGAGTCAGAGTCTGTAGAAGCTTGGGTGATTGCCGGTCTATCCTTTTTCCAGAGATATTGGTTGTACTTGAACATGTAATGTATTTTGATGCTGACACGTGAAAGTGCAAAGCTTGCTCTATCACTAGCTTCATTCCTTTGTTGAAGCAAGAAGAGACAATCCGATGTCGAAGTGCCGGGGGCCGCTTCAATTACCGGCACAAGAACTGGACGCTTGTTAGGCGGAAGCCTCTATTGTCCGTTTGACCTGACCTGACCTGAAGCTCAGTCCATTGGTTCATTGGTTCATTGGTTAGTAGAGAGCAGAAGGAAGTTCCTTTGTCAGCTCCGTCACTTCCCGGACATTGCGAGGGTTGCTGGGATCATTGCGAAACAAGGTTCAGCAGAAGATCGCTTTGGTTGTATTGTGGGCAGCATAATCCCTGCGCACTCAGATAGTGGGTATCCAACTGTCGTTTGAAACATTCCTCCGTCTCCGCATCGACGAAAGCTTCTGGCAAGCTGTTCCAGTCATTCACTACCCGGGCGAATAGGGCCAGATCGGACCGTACACGGAGTCGCCGCGGTTTGATAAGTTTCCACCGGTGGCCTCGAGTTGCACAACTTGTGTTTAGACAAAAGAACGATTGTAGCTCACTCCCCAGCTCACCTCGTAGAATACGCCGGGTGAATATCATATCTCCGCGGCGACGACGATAATCCAAAGAGAACAGGTTCAACCGTTGTAGCCGGAGGAGGTAAGATAAGTCCCGAAGCTCTGGAACGGATTTGGATCCACGCCGTTGAAACTTCTCGATCATGTCACGTTCGGACTTGGTGAGCGGGTACGCAGCAGACAATCCGTACTCGAGAATTGGGCGTACATGAGAAGCAAACAGTAATCTGAACAATGCTGGGGTCAGGCGTGAAAAGGCTCTCCGTATAGCGTGAAGTATTCTGTATGCGGATGCGACCCTCTTCCGGGTGTCCTCGATTGATTTGAGATCAGGAGACACAATCACCCCTAGGTCCCTCTCTTGGTTGACATTTCTGAGCAGGAAACCCCCGATATGGTAAACCCCAAAAGGCTCAGGAGCACCGATTGGAAGGATAGCGCATTTGTTAATGGGCAACTGCCACTTTAGTGACCAATCGTGGAGCTGATCAAGTGTTGCTTGAAGTACGTCTGCGTCTTCCAGACTGGAAACCTCAATCCACAGCTTCAGATCATCCGCGTAGATTAGGCAGTCGGTCTGCAGTTCGGATGGCAGGTCGTTGATAAAGACATTGAAGAGTTCGGGGCCGAGTACAGAACCCTGGGGGACCCCGCTGGTAATGAGAATTTGATCAGAAAGCGCTTTGTTAACTTTGACCTGCATGAAGCGACCTTGCAGGAAATCAGAGACCCATGAAAGAAAATTGCCAGTGACGCCGATTCCCCGGAGACTGAAGAGGAGCCGCTCATGTGGGACCTTGTCGAAAGCCTTACTGAAATCGACAAACACAGCATCCAGATGCTTACCGGCATCTAAGGATCTTGCCCATTTTTCCCTAGTTACCAGCAAATTTGTAGCATATGAACGCGCCCTTCGGAAGCCATGTTGGGCATGAGATAAGAACTCCAACTCATCGAGATGTAGGCGAAGGGCCCGTTTCAAAATCAGTTCCATGACTTTGCACAAAATCGAAGTCAAACATATGGGACGATAGCTGGCTGGATTCTGTCGGTTCCATCCTTTGTAAATGGGTTTAACCGTCCCCATCTTCCAAGCAGTAGGAAGCCGCCCGACCTCAAGGGAACGACGGAAAATTTGACATACAGGAGCGACAATGTGCCTGGCCACGGTGTTAAGGAAAAATGGGTGTGGACCATCGGGACCCGGCGAGGAATACGGGTCTAGGTCAAGTAGAAGTTTCATTACATCGTCAGTGGAAACGTTCACGTGCTCCAGCAGGAAAGGGGGAGTGAGTGCAACGCTATCTGGGAGTGGCGTTTCGGTAGAGTAGACTGAGGAATATTGCTGGGCCAAAAGGCTAGCTTTCTCAGCGTCTTCGTAGACTAGGTCCATAGGCTCACAGGGAGACAAGGCAGGGACACCACTTCCAGCTTTAGTGCTTCGTTTGAGGTATGAGCAAAGCGCCTTGGAGTTAGTACTAGAAAGTGCAACTAATGACAGTTAGTACATTTGGCGTTTCACGCGTTTTTATGTTACAAGCATTCCTGACCGTTTTGTAGTGACAGTAGTCAAGCTCAACTCGCGTAATTCTGAAATGATCCCACAGTTTTCGCCTTCTTTTCATCATTGATCTCAATTCGCTGTCGAGCCATGGAGGGCCTTTGGAGAAGGGTCTTCTTTTGGAGAAGGTGATGACCTGTTCAATGAGTAACGTCAGCTTGGAGTACAAGTGATGCCACGCTTCGTCAACTTTGAGGTGTTAAGGGATACTCCAATCGACAGTGCTTGCCGCCGTTTTCAAACGAGTTGTGTCGGCACGCCAGAAATTCCGAGTGTAGGCACGTTGACTGTGAACAGCAAGGCGACGTGGCCACTGGAATGAGACAGTACAGTGATCACTGCTGCCAATGGGCTGTAGAACTGAAAGGTTCGTGATGTCTGGTTGTGTTGGGGTGAGAACGAGATCCAGGATATGCGGTGTCTGATCTGGAGGAATACGAGTTGGCGTAGTGACGTGTTGGAGCAAATTACAATGAAGAATGGTCGCCAGTAAGTTAGCCTCGAAGGACTCTGCAGGTCGATCACCAAGAAACGGGTTCCAGTCTACAGAAGGAGCGTTGAAATCCCCAACAATAAGACAATCCTTTTGTGCATCATGCTTCCTGATCGAGTCCATCAACCGGGCTCCGGATCCTGAAGCCGATCTGTAGACAACACAGAATGAGAGAGAACTCCGACCATCATGAACACGACACCAGAGTGCATCAAACTCATCGTCTTTGTCACTGACCGCTTCAACTACGTGCACTTTAATATCAGTCTTCCAATAGACTATTACACCACCGCCGGGCCTCCCTCCTTGTCGATCGGATCGGGAGAGGTGATAACCAGGGATAGACACCTCTGAATCCGTGATGTCGGTGAATAGTCAGGTTTCAGTGAAGGCCATTAAGTCCGGGCCGGTCTCTGAGGCAATCAACTGAATCTCATCCAATTTATTCCTCAGACAGCGCACATTGGCGGTTAACACGAATAGTCCAATTGTGTGTTTTATTGTCCCGGGAGGAGAAAAATGGGTCTCCAACGGGCTCTCGGGGTCTTCCGAACCACGCAAAAATCCACAATATGAAGGTCAGTTACACCATTTCCTCGGGGTGTTCGTAGCTCCTCAACAGCCTTTTTCCTTGTTATCCGATCCGCTGGAGAAAGGTCTCGTAGTACGTAATAGGCTCAACTTTGAGGCGCTTGGTCTATCGCAGGATACGTCGACATTCCTCTTCCGTCTGACACACGACTTTGAGGGGACGAAATTTGGTTGGGTCCTCTTGTTTCCTGCCGAGCCGGGATGCAGAATTGATGTTAATCCCCTGTTCCCCTTCATCAAATAACAAAGAGATCAAGCGCTCGAGAGGAATTTGGTCATCCAGAATTCTTTCCGCTGGGGTGGCTTTGTTCGATTCGGCTGCGTTCATAATGATGAGGCAACGGTCCCGAGAAGGTGGAGTGCGCTCAGGCATCTGCGGTCTGCGGGAGGACGGATTTTCTTTGATCACTTGCTCTAGCTCAGAAAGTCTATTGAGAACTAGCTTCATTCGCGACTGAGAAGCTGAGAGCTTAGAATTGGGTTTATCCCCGGATTTGGGATTAAACTTAACAGCATTGGTGGCTGGGCTTTGGCTGATAAAGGTCGGGGGTACATTTCCCTTCACTATGGAAGGGTTATCCCCGGTGTTGGATTTCGCCATGGGCTTAGATACCAGCTTTCGTGGAGGCGTGCTTTCAGCTGGGCATAGACTGGTTGTTGTTGGAGCGGTGGCGCTCGCCACGACAGCATACGTTGCGGGCTTATTCCTCGGTCAACAAATCATCTTACTGAACGGAAATGACTCAGCCGACTTGGCAGAGAGGGTGCGTGTTCTATTTGGTTTGGGTGTAGCAGATCCGGATGCAGGTAGGGAAATGGATGATGGGGGTAACTCATCTTCCGTATTGTCCATGGCCAAGGTAACAGGGCTGCATATACTCAAAGGACGATGGTTAGCCAGAAGGCGTTTGTCATTCACTATTACTCGACATGAGTCACAATGTGAGCTCATGCCCTCAGAGGCAGTGCGTTGGAGACATTCATATAAGGCGTCATCGATGTTACGGCACGAAGTGTCAGTCGAAGCCATACTACAACTGTTCGTAGAGTCTACTAGTTATAAGGACAAAGGCGGTAGCTGCTTTTTGGCAGTACTTCAGGAACAAAATAATTAACTAAATGCATTTAATCGATCAAAATGCCATATTGAGATGACCTTGGTCGTTAGTGTAACATTGACTGCAATTAAAACGTGCTGAAACTACGGAACACACTGAAATCCAAGCACTGCTGTTTTAGGAAAATATTTCATGGCCAAGGAAATAAAAATAATCGAGCTACTAGATGTTGCCCTTGGAACCCCCGAGGTATAACACTTAAACTTACCGCTTATTATTTTTTTTAGCTTGGATGCCTTAATCTTCGCATTTTGCACGATCTTCTATCTGCTATGATAAAGCACCTGCAGATCGAAAATGTAATATATGACCTAAAGGATACTGATTACGCTGCATCGGGAGGACTGGAATTGAGTGCGAAACTGACTAACGTATTTTCCGATAGTCGGCTCTTTGAGGTAATGCACGCACCTGGGTAACAGGCCATAACATTTGGGTCTGTTTCTGGTCACTACCAGAAAGGAAACGAAAATACTAATAATACTATTGGAATATGTCCAATAACGTCATGCACTCTTATAATGCTTTGTTAACACAACCGGTATTAATCTAGATGGTTTAATTTTTAAGCCAATCCTACTTTCAGTTGGCTAGAGTGACAGATAGACCGCCTTTGACTGGCCTTTTTCTGTGCGTCTGGCCATACTAATGAGACGCATTTGGGATGGATTTTGGCTAACTTTCCTCCGACTGTGCAGTTCTATTGTATGACTGTGACGCCTGGCATTGTAGTGAACGCAATTGCTTACATTTTTATTTCGTGTAAGTATTTTTATCAGTTCATCTTTTGCACAGCATTCTTTTGAATTGTTGTAAATCTACCCGTAGATACTTCTTTTAAGTCTGCGCTTCCATCGTGCTGATTTTCGGCTGTGCTGCTGATGCTTTTGAACGCTGATTCGTGTCTGATTGAAAGCCGTATATTTGCTGTGGAATCGCAACTGAACATCTGCTTCTATCGTGTTCGACATCATTGACAGGTAGATCATTCCCGTAGCCGGAACTTAACCGCGATTTGCGTGTAAGTTAGCATTTCCTAAGGTTTTTAATTTTTCAAAGAGACTTAAGCCTTTACGTATTTCACCGACTACTACAGTCTTTTTGCTCAGAAGACAAGAAATGTCTGTCCGATTTTACAATGTTCATCTGCGAAGGCTTGCACATGCGTGGTAGCAACATAACCTAGGTAACACAGAACTTCAAGACTGAATGCATAGTGTTAACAGCTCCTGTCTCTTAAGCCTCACTCTCCGACACCGCAAAGGTTGGTTTGACTACTTATCGCGCACGCCATCCTACCGTCTTGTCTGTCTAGCGTCATTCGCGATCTCGTGAATTAATTGGAGTAAGTGCTGCAATGGCCAACCAATAATGTAAAGACGGAACATGAAGGAGGCAAGCATAAGCTTAGCATCTGTCGGAACAGTCCGCCTTCCATAATGGAGACTAAGCGACGCTGACTCCCAGTAGTGGGAAACGTTAAAGGTTATGGAGCGCAACACGCACCAGTGGTGCCATTGTTGTTCTGCTGTATTATCTGTTAGTTGATTGTTTACCGTTCGCGAAACTCTGAGACACAAATTAACTTTACACCGTGTTTATAAAATTTGATAATTTTTTCATCTGTTATTATAGTTCGTTTTTTTCTAGTTCTGCTGTGCTTTTGAGGGAGTTGGCTGTTGCCAGGTAGTAAAGATTACACGGATATTTTCAAACTCTCTCGATGTTCCAGTACTAAGAGGTTTCGATTTGGGAGTCGATTGGTGCCGTGTGTAGACAAGGTTTGCACCCAGGAAACTGCGTTTATGACATATGTTATGGCTGCCTAAGAAAGACATTTTTGTTGAATCTTCGTGGCAAGTCTGTTTTAATGGACGGCTAGGAAAACGAAGAATGGCATCACTTTTGCTGTCTTCCCTGACCTCAAATATCTTCGGAGTTCTGTAGATTGTAACTTAATATACATATAGTGTTCAAACATAGATTAATTATGTTAATACCTGGCAAGTCTGTTTTGAATGTGGAGTCATTTGAGTTCATTCTAAGACTCATTAAGCTTACCGCCCAAAATTTCTACTCACGTTGATTTCAAAATTTCTTTGCATATGTGGTATAAAATGTACATTTATCGCAAAATTGCTTTATGATTGTGCCAGCGATTTTAGAGATTTTATAATACAATTCACTTTGCGTAGCAAATTCTTATACAAGCTCTGGAGAAATGCACCGATAAACCGAGCAGTGCATCTAAATATTTTGAAAAAATTTCACTTGTTGTCAAAAACATTGTAGTGGCAACCAATTAGCGCATTTATTTATCAATACTAAATCTTACAAATGCGAGTTGAGATACTTTCACTAGAATCGATCTATATGTACGAACCCATGAGCACGTTATACATTGCGTGTACGACAATATTCATCACAGAACCTTATTGGTGCAGAAAAAACAACAATATGCAACTTTAATCAATCCGCTTTCATCTAACAAATGTTCAAAGACTGGCCAAGATAGGTCTTTCAATCAATTAATTCTCTGCTAGTAAAATAATAATTATGACGGACTTAAAACCACTTTGGCTTGCGCAAGGTTTATTAATGACCATATGTGTATCTATATGCTCTAGACGCAATTAACAGTTGCAACTCAGTTGATGTTGGAAGTATCGGTAATACTTAAATAGAACAGTTTTACCCATGACATCGAAACACGACCTATGATGTATATTAATAAATTTTGTTTACGCAGTGCATCTAAATGTATAAGAACATTAACAGTTATCCCCCCATAGTTTACAATCAAGTGTTCATTATTTGCAACCCAGAATTCCCATACTTCTGTGGTCGTAATAAAAAACGGTTTGCTTTCTAAGCAAAAGAGGACTTGCTTCTTGTAGGTCTCTGGTTGCCATCAACTAACAGACACGAGTAACACTCGGTTAACCTTCTCTGTAGCAATACCTACTATAGAAGCATAACCAAGTTAGCACAAAATCGTTAAATGTTATTAAATAAAACACCAAATTCTTTCCCACGATTTGCTGGCGCGTGTAACCTACTTAACTTGTCTCTTGATAGATCTAGTGGAAGTGGAAAGGAGCTCTTGATCAAAGACATAGCTCGTCAACTTACACTACACAATCAAAGTCAAGTTTTGTCTAAAAGTCGTTAATCAGGATTATAAAAGTTTCAGACCAAGTATGATGCACATAGAAAATTAAAAGTTATACTCCAGTTAAAGAGGCCAAGGTGTTAACTGTTATCAAATAAGATGGTGATTATGTTAAACATTAGGAAAACACTCCACAAATACTACTCACTCTAAGGGGAACTCTTGTGGAGCTTTCCAAATAATCTGTTAAAACGGCAAATACAGCGCATCCGTATTTGCCGACACCTGCTGGCGTTTTGCAATGCTGGTGCAAATAAACAGTATAAACACAGCATTTCACAAGCAACAGTCCAGGTAACGTTTATAGCCCCAAAATAAAGATGTTTAGTTAATTTAAGAGTATCATCTGCTAACTTGCGGCTGTTTAACATCAAATGACTCTGTGGCTAAATCACAATATCTTGACAACTTTCTTTCTTAGGTTTGTGCCTCATGGTCAGCGCATTCTAGTCAGTCATGAATTTATACGTTACCAGAGCGTTATGCTGTCTATTAGTTGGGGATAGCGTCGCAGTTAGTCACCGCCCTGAGGAGTAATGGATGTGCTTCTTGAAAACTGGCAAGTTCTTAAGAGTACTTGGATAAGAGTTCAGTAGCGAGCTGTGTCTATTTCTATGTGCCATAGAGAATGGTGTTACATGATAGCAAGGTTAGAAAGCAGCAAAGCTCTTTTTTATTACATAGAGGAATACTGTTAAACTTGATGATAAGTTCCTTTTCTGTCATTTTGAAGTAGGCGTAAGCAGTCCTGGGGAAATAAAACTTAAAAGTCTAGCAAATTGATCTACAGGAAGCAGAAACAGAACAACTTCTACGGCTGCAATATTCTTCAATGCTCCGACTATCTACCAGCTTACTTATTGTTTTACTTTGTCAGCAAGCCAATTGGATTTGTCCACGTCGTTTTCAATTCAACTGCAGCGATAAAATATTTAGTATCGTTGCGTTACGGTAGTTCCCTTGCATTTGCTAACACAAATTAAATAGCATTACAAGGGATGTGTGCATAAATGTCAAATGATAACTGCAATTTCTTACGTTGCTGTTATATGCAGAAGGTGGTATCATCATTATCAACAGCAGTGAATTAGCCATGTAAACTGATGATTTGCTGCCAAACATGCAAAACAACCTACGGGACGAATAATAATAACGGGTAGAGAAGGGGTACTTACCGGGAAACCTTAATGCCCTAAGCAAGCATTAAGAGTCAGAGGGCTTACACCATGTCGACAACATGCTATTACAAACAGTTGACATTCATGCATAGATAAGGCGGCAAAAGCGGAGCAGCTTTCTTGCGGCTATCACTGCCTTGCGTCCTAATCAACCATTAACCCGCAGATAACTCAGCACCAAACGCACGTTAAACAGGCAGTCCGAATAGAACGCGGCAGCAGACGTGCCGTTAGTACATACCACGAGCCATGTTCTTTAACGTTTGGAGTCAAGCACAAGGCTAGTCAGGTGGAATTCAGTCTGGAAGACGAAACGTGCCAATGGCACCAAATCTGACCTTCAGCGACATCATTTTTTGCTGCCAAGTTAAATTTATCCACTTTGGGCTATGTACCCCACACATATGGCAGACAAAACTTGGCCCTTTTCGGTAAGCCCCGGTTATGTATTCGTACTACGTGAACAATTTAACGCAAGTCAGTCATTACAATCAGATTTTTTAAGAAACTAGTTTGGGTAACATAGCCTAACGCTCGCCTATGAACATCATCGTTATGGACATGCTGGGGCCACCTGACACCAGCATAGCTATGCGGACGGCGTTGAGCAAAGACTTCATAATGCCTCAGATCCTTAGGTCGTAGGCGCCGTCTCAATCCCATACGGTAGAAATCCCTCATTCTGGTCATGTAAACACGGCCCTTCTGACGGGGAAAAACCACTTTCTTTTGCAAAGGAGTCGCACTTTTAAGAAGACAGTTCAAATTTTTAATGTATGATCTGACTACAGTTTCTATGCGCCCATCTTTACTGACACAACTGCCAAGTTATGTGAATTAACCAACTGCCACGTTTATCTTTCTACCCAGGATCAAAGTCCATCCTTGTAAACAGCAAGCCGTGTTTCGTCGAGGTCGTGGCTGCATTGACCACATCTTCACCTTGTGTCAGTTGTTGGAGCACGGGCACATATATTGACGGCCCACCGTTGTTGTGTTCCTCGATATCAAAGGTGCATTCGATTCGGTGGAAAGACGTGCACTTTGG